TTTTTTTTAGTGGTACAAAATATGCCTTAACCGTATTCAAAGTTTTATTTTGAAGGGTAATTTGGTGGACAGTGTTCAGATGACAAGAAAAAGAAGCACAGAAGAAGTGAAAAATATAGAAAGTAATTTACAAAATATAAATAAACTGTCCATGTAGAAAAGCTGTTCATGAGAGGAGCTGCCGTCGAGCTGAATAGTTCAGTTCAAATGTGTTCATCACAGTAAACATCACTGCTGCGAGGCTGTTGTGTGGACCTGCTTTGATTTATTTTGCTGGTGATGAACACAAACTGCTGTGTTGTTTAGGCCGATGGAGAGATGCAGTTGGAGAGTATTTGAAACTTAGGTTACCAGGTTAGTGGGTGCATGAATTCATTGTTGGGACATTTGGGGATGGCAAAACTCAGACTGTTATCAACAACACTCACATATTATGAAGGTCATATGGTGTATTGACAATAACAGCAGCTGTAAGAGAGACAAGAGCGAATAGAGAGAGGAACAACTGTGTGTTGTTTTTCATTGAATGACAGACACTATTACAGCTTTTAATGCAGTTGAAATGAATCACACCAGATTTTTCAAAGTAATAGTCAAATACTGCAGGTGCAGTTAATGGAAGCTTCAAAGATTCCAATCACAGTAGCAGAATGAATACGAATATGAATATAAAGCATCTCACATTTATCATACAGCATCCCAAATATGCTTTCCAAACCAGATGAGAGTTTCTGTTTCAGGAGACAGAGAGATTTCTGTTAGTGCATGCAGTGTGAATGTTTTGTAGTGGACATTTATATCTGCAGGCTTCAAGTTCTATTACAGGAAAAATTAGAGATTGCACATACAATATGATGACTGAGGTGTTTATTCAATAAAAGAAAATACTTTAAACATTCTACAAATATATTCATGAGAATCAGCCTTTCATTTCGCCAAGTACAGAGCACAGAGTCTGCCTAAAAGGTATTTAAAGTTTTATTTTAAAGGGCACTTTGATAAAGATGGAAAAGACAGGGAGAAGAAGCATAACAACATTTTAGATGGTTTTTGTTGGTTGTAACACAAGCGCTTGACTGTTGATAGCCAATCAGAACAGCTGTTACTGTGGCACTGCTGGACTGTAAAATAATGGAGTTTCTGCCACCTAGTGTCACATTTGGCTTTTGCAGCGATGGACAAGAGATTCAGATTCAGATCCCTCAAAAATTCAAAGTTTTATTTTGAAGGGAAATTTGGTGGAACGTGTTCAGATGACAAGAAAAAGAAGCACAGAAGAAGTGTGCAGGAGATTTGTGGAGTTTTGTCTTTTGTGTTTTTGGATTTGTGTGTTGAATTTATGAATTTCTGGACAGAAATTGTTAAATTGAGTATGGGATTTGTAATTACGACATATACTTTCGGTATTTAACATGATTGTTTTCCATTGGTGGTCAGTGATTGCAGTTTTAAGCTCCCGTTCCTATGATTGCCTGTTGCTGTGAGTATTTTCCTCTTCAGCTGACCTGGGGAATGATTGTCTCTATCTGCTCTGGTCCATAACCTTCCTTATATTGGGGTACAGAGTTTAAGAAACTGCGAATTTGTAAAACTCTGAAAAAGTGCGCCTTGGGTAGTAGCCCGTACTCTTCCTGAAGTTGATTAAACGATTTCATGGTACCACCTTCATAGAGATCATTTATCACCTGAATTCCATATGTGTTCCACTCTTTAAAACAAGGGTCAACACAAGAAGGAACAAAAACAATTGGTGCATAAAAAGAGTATCTTCTGTTGATGGAAAATGCCTTCTTTACACAATAAAGTTGTCCCTAGTGGCTGATGCTTTTTAAACATTATTTAAGAATGCTATACTTGATAATGAGAACCAGTTACATCCTTGCAATTCAAAGTTTGAACATGATGATTTACGGTCTTGCGCCCCCCATTCTGATAATTTTTCCAACTGTATAGACCAATAATAGTATTGGAAGTTTGGTACTGCTAGACCCCCATTTACCACTGGCAGTTGGAGTTTCTCCAATCTCATTTTCGGACATCTATTTTTCCGAATTAACTTAGATGTGCTCCTATGCAGATCTTTAAAAAAAGATACTTGGGAGGTCATTAGGTATCATTTGGAAGGGATACAAAATTCTTGGGAGTATATTCATTTTAGTAACGGCTATCCATCCCAGCCAAGAAATTGGAAGTGGCACCGATCTAAGTAAATCCAATTTAACCTGTTTAAGGATAGGATACAGATTCATCTTCACCAGATCTTCCAGTTGGTAGAATATATGGATTCCTGGATATTTAAAGCCATTATAAGACAAATGTAATGGAGATAATATACTGTTATCTGGTTCTCTACTGCCTCCAAGTGGTAGGGCAGTATACTTACCCACATTGATCTCATAGCCGGAGAGACTACTAAATTCATTGATTGTTTCTATCACAGAGGGTTTGTTTAGGGTTACAGAGAAATATCAGTATATCGTCCTAATACAAAATAATATGCTCCATTTTCCCACTGTTAATACCATTAAAAGGGGCAGTGGACAACCTTGACGAGAGTGAACCGGGGTGAAGTGAGACCGTTGGCCATACCCATTGCTTTTGGAGAGGTGTACAGCCATTTTACCCAACTTATAAATGTATTACCCAGAGAGAAACTTTCGAAAATGTTGAACATATATTGCCATTTCATACGATCGAACGCTTTCTCAGCGTCTAAGGAGAACATCATAGTGTCTAGTCTAGAGGTTTGCTTTTGGCATATTGAATGACCCCCAATAGACGCCTCACATTAGTGTATGAATCACGACCTTGCACAAATCCTGTTTGATCAGGCCCGATAATGGTAGGTAGGATAGAGTAGAGTCCTTTAGCTAAAAGCTTAGTCAATATTTGGTTTTCCACACATTGCAAACTAATTGGTGTATATGAGTAAGGCTCCTCTGAGGCTTTCCCTTGCTTTGGTATTAATTAAATTGCAGCCGTCTGTGTTGATTCAGGTAGTTTTTGATTCAGGAAGGAATATTTGTACATTTTACTTAAGAGTGGACTAAAAATGTCTTTGAATACTTTGTATATTTCTGGGGGGTAAGCCATCTGGACCAGCTGCTTTCCCAGAGGGGATGTCATCAATAGCTTCCTCTATCTCTGTAAATGTAATTGAATTATTCAAAGCCTGTTGTTCCAAAAAGCTGTTTATTTGAGTCACTTTTATGTATTTCTGATTTATATAGTAATTTCTAATTATTGGTAAATTTGCCATTAATCTCCTCAGATTTTCAACAACGTTTTCCGCTCGAGTTTTTCAGACATGAGACAGAGTTATGGCTATTGTGGTTGCTTAAAAGTTCTGAAAGTAAATTACCTGGTTTGTTGCCGTATTCATACAACCTTTGTTTTAAGACCAGCCCTTACAACAGTCATTTTCTTTCTTAACAGAATTACTATGTTGTGCATCTGTTCACAACATAGTAATTCTGCCTCCAATTGTCTGTTCGGATATTATTTTCTTCTTCTTTCTGCTACAAAATTAAATAATTAGCCCTCTCAAATATACTTTCGTATATTCCAAGAGTATAGAAGGATTTACAGAACCAGTCATAAATTTCCAAGAACACAGAAAGCTCTTTCCTGATGTAGTCACAGAATTCTGGGTCTGATAAAATGGCTTTATTGCTTTGCCATCTATAGGCGTCTACCGGGCTTTGCAACATTAAAATTAGACTAATGGGGGCGTGGTCTGATGTGAATTGAGCCAATCCTACAATTTAGTCCCGAGGATGCTAATGTACGTGGAATAAGGAGGGTTTGGTTATTAGGAAGTATAAAGGTTACATGGTTATTATTTGTCAATGTACGAAAGGGTTGCACAGCGAAATTTAGATTGTAGTCCCAAACTACATAAGAAAGAAAACAAACGGCACAATATAAATTATACATGGAAGACGGAGGATGAATTGAGGAGTCTCACAGCCAGAGGGAAGAAGCTGTTTTGAAATCTGGTGGTTTGGCAGCTCATACTTTTGTATCTCTTTCCAGACAGCAGCAGGGTAAACAGTGTGATAATTAAATCATTGATATTCATAAAATTATTAATATCACTAGTATTATTAACATATATTAAGTATGACGGGGCACCACCCTGGGATCATGGACCGATAACCAAACTGTGGATAAAGTCTCACAATTGATGTTGACTAAAAATGCCAATAGTCAAAGTACCATTCCACATTCAGGAGTGAACAGTGGAGGCTTGAATCCAAGCAGTGACAATAACATCCAGCTATCATCACAACACATGTGGAGAAAAATAATTACAGAAACTGCTTCTTAAAAGTATAACAGAGTTTATTTATCTTAACAATACTGATCAAATTCAATAACGTTGTAAACAAACAAAACATCTATCATACAGTTACAATTATACTACCTAAAAACAACAAGCAATCACGTTGTGAGGGGAGTGTATGTGTGTGAGGACGTTTGTTTGTGGGTTAGTTTGAAAAAAAAAAAGAAGAAGAAAGCACTAAAACAAGGCAGATCCTCACCGCGGCAGTAAAGAACAGCAACTATAATTTCATCACACAGAAGCCCGACTGGAGAACTCAGGTTCGGCAGCCTTGGCACCGGACCTTTATTAACTAATAAAGTACAGTTACTGACTTTACTCGTGGTGGCGGATTTAAACATAACAAAGCTCAGCGGCGTAGAACTACACTAGCAGCAACAAGCCCAACAGTTATGTTACACAGCACTGACCGGAACTCGGTGGGCCGTATAATACACAATAACACGGTAAATAGTACAGTTAAACTTAAAACAAAACAACAAGAATACAAACACACTATGACCTATCTCTGCCCAGACAAAAGCCTCTGACTTGAGATCACTTCGTAGTGGTTGGTGTGTTTCTTTTGACTTCAGCAGAATTTCTCCTGCTTAGGACCGAGGGCCGTGACTACACTTCAGTTCTGCATTGCACACAAATCTTTTATCACAAACTGAGCAACAGAAAGGTTTCTCGCCCATGTGAGTTAGCATGCGTCTCTGTAAACGTCCACTCTGTGAAAAAGATTTGTTACAGACTAAGCAGGTGTCTCTCCTGTGTGACATCTCATGTGTTTCTTCAGATTTCCACTTTTAGTGAAACTTTTACCACACTCTGAGCAGCTGAAAGGTTTCTCTCCTGAGTGGATTCTCATGTGTTTCTGTAAACCTCCACTGCATGAAAAAGAGTTCTTACAGAATGAGCAGCTGAAAGGTTTCTCTACTGTGTGGATTCTCATGTGTTTCTTCAGATTTCCACTTTCAGTGAAACTTTTACCACACTCTGAGCACCTGAAAGGATTCTCTCCTGTGTGGATTCTCATGTGTTTCTGTAAACCTCCACTGCGTGAAAAAGAGTTCTTACAGACTGAGCAGCTGAAAGGTTTCTCTCCTGTGTGACATCTCATGTGTCTCTGTAAATGTCCACTCTGTGAAAAAGCTGTATTGCAGACTGAGCAGCTGAAAGGTTTCTCTCCTGTGTGAAATCTCATGTGTACCTGTAAATGTCCCCTCTGTGAAAAAGATTTATTACAGACTGAGCAGCTGAAAGGTTTCTCCCCTGTGTGAAATGTCATGTGTACCTGTAAATGTCCACTCTGTGAAAAACATTCATCACAGACTGAGCAGCTGAAAGTTCTCTCTCCTGTGTGGACTCTCATATGTTTCTTCAAATCTTTCTTGAGGCGAAATCTTTTCCCACATTCAGAGCAGCTTAATGGTTTCTCACCAGCACTACATCTTGAATCACTGACAGACACGTCATCATTATTCAGAGAGTTTAAACCTGACTGAGGTTCTCTGGTCTCCTTCCAATCATCACTGTGTTCAGTCTCAGGTTCAACAGAGTCTCCAATCTTCTCATCAGTATCTGGTTCTGGATGTCTATCTGGATCTGAGTTTCTTCCTGGTTCTGGTCCTCCACAATCTTCTTCAATAGCATTTGTTTCCATCTGTTCAGTTTGTCTTTGATGAAGCAGTGAGTACTGAGCTTCCTCTTCATCATCTTCACTCTTCTCAGGAGTGAATGAGAACTTGACATCAGCCTCCTCCAGCCCTTGAAGCTGTTCTCCTTCCTGACTGGTCCAGAGTTCCTCCTGTTCCTCTTTAATGTGTGGGGGCTCTGGGTCCTCCTGGTCCAGACTGGAGCTCCACGCCTGCTGCTCTTCTTTAACCACCACCAGCTGCTGGACATCTGTGGAAAGAAATTAAATACATACACACCTTAGAAAACTAATTTCATGTTAACAACTGATATCACTACTTTCCTATAATGTGGGGAGACATGTTGCACATTTTGTAGGACATATTTGGACCTCATTGAAAGTAAAACAAACTAAAAACTGTTGTGTGTTTCACCTGGCTGTGAGACAAAGTTTCCCTTTGGGGGAGTTGTTCTTGTTAAAATGCTCATGTGCTTGTTGCTGCCAAAACGTATTGAAGCATAACCTAATGGTGACTGTTGACTGAAAATAATGATGGTCATGAAAAGATAAAAAACCTGCTTCTCTCTGTGTCTGAGAGTTGGACATTGTGCATATCAACTGCATGGGAAATGAGAGACAGCGATTGTGATTGCAGACAGTGGCAATCATGTGGCAAGCGAGCTATAATAACAAAAAGAAAATTTAAAATAAAAGTTTGAAAAAAATTGACTCTGTGTGCGCGTGTGTTCTATTTCATCCTTACTGACCACCAGAGGCAGTGCTCAACACTGGATATCTTCCGTCTCGCCCACACGCAGGTCTTTATATCTACAAAGTCACGTGTGACCTCGGTTGACCCCAGCCGGGTATAAGTTCCGGTGTCATCCCCGAGATCGGTCCCGTTTCATCTTTTTGCTTATGCAGGCGAACTACCATGGTAGCATTAGCTTAAGCTAAATTTGTCTCCGATTAAAGATTTCTTGGAGCTTGTCGCTTGTAGTCTTGTGACCACTAGTCAGAGTTGCGGATCTCTTGCCCTCCAAAGGCTGCGACAAGCTGTCCCTCTTAAGAGGGAACGGTGTGTTTCACCAAGTGGACCATCGAGCGTCAGACCAGCGGACACTCCTTTCATCGGTCGTCACCAGTGTGAACATCAAATCGGTGAGATCGATTAACATTGTTTCTATAACATTAGAGTTACTGTTTGTTCATTTTCCAAGGTTGACAGAGCACTCTCACTTGAGCTAATTGAGTGGCATGCTAACAAGAGCGTGTCCTCTCGGTGTTGGCTAGATTGACAACGTACCACGTCAGTGAGAGTGTCCTTGCTCCTCTCTCACTATACGGACTGTTTTCTGACCCGTTTCTACAGTAGCAGAGTGCTCTCGCTCAGGCTAACTGGTGGAACGCAAATATTTACAGCGACTGTGCTAGTGAAGAGTGTCCTCGCTCCCCTCTCACTGACTGTTCCCTGCCTGTTTTAGTAGCAGTCAGCGGAGCCCTCCCGCTCGGACCTCAAACCTGCCCTATTAGTTGATGCGGGCTGCTGAAACTAGTAGGGCAGGGTTTCTCCAGAGTCACGGTTATGTTTAACTCTCCCGGTTGTAAGACATGTATGGCCCCTCTTCAGCGTGAAGACGGCCATGACCTCTGCCCCTCTTGTCTTGGCCTCGAGCATCTGAGGGAGGGCCTCTTGGAGAACTCATGCATTAACTGCGGCATCATGCCTCCCGTGGTAAGGTTTACTTGGCTGGCCAAAGTGGAACACCTGATGGGTGAGTTTGACCCCCCCCTCCTGTCAGGGCAGTTGAATCCAGCTCAATCTACCCATTTCAAAGCAGCGGGAAAAAAATGAAGAAAGAGTCGTAGTGCTAGTTAAATGTAGGCAGCTGTTTGTTTGTTTGTAAATCTAAAACATAACAGCAGACATAAGTAAAATAAAATGATTTTCTTGTTTTTCATTAGCCAGGCTACATCAAGTATATTCATGCACAATGATCTTGTAAATGATGCAAATAATGTTGGTGTGTCTGTTTGTTTGAGAGTGAGAGAGACTGTCGTACATTTGTTGAAAGCCAGCAGTGGCTCTTAGGATTAGAAATATAATATAATAAATGCGAGTACTATTTTAGAGCCTTTAACATCAGCAGTGGGATGTGGCCTCCATGGGTCCCAAACTCTTTCCCTCCCTCCCACTGTAAATGCTTTATATAATCTGAAAAAAACAAGCAATATTATAACATGATGGTGAAATTAGTCATGATGGAGAGTAAACAAAAGATGGTCTGTTTCTGTTATTTATACAGCCTCCCAACCTGCAGAGACCAGACCATTATCTAGCTCCTCGTCTGCTGGACCCACGACATCCACCGGTAGTGTACTTAATGTTAACTTTCTTTGTATGCCAACCCATGAAAATCTGATAGTTTTCTTTCATTAAAGGTATTAAAAGAAAATCTGTTAATAGGTCACACTCCTGAAAAGATGGAGCAAACTGTTTGGGGTGTGGCCGGTGCAGGGAACCTGACCCTCACAAGAGCTTTGAGGGATTGGTTTTGTGGGTCCAGTGTGACAGCTGCCACACATGGTATCACACCATGTGTGGGCTGGGATGAGGAGCTGGATGATGAAGATGATTATTTTAAATGTAATTTAAATCCTGATTTTTAATTTAATTTCTAATTTTGTTGTTGTCCCTTTTGTATCATCTTTTCAATCATTTGCATTAGTCACTTGTCTTTTGTTTTAGCAATGTAGCTTTTCAATCATGAATACTTTTAGGTTTTTAGTTGTAATATAACTCTTACTCTGCAATACAGTGTTATGATAGTAATTGTTGGAGCCATAAAGTAGTTTTGTTGTTTTCTTTTTTTTTTTTTTGAGGGAAACACGGGGTGGGTTTACACATGCAGTTCTGACATTGAACAGTGGGCGGCACATTGACCTAAAAGTGCATGTGGGTGTGCGCTGTCCGGTGGAGACGTGGCTTGAGTTTTGTTACTGAGCGGAGAGGTTGTATTGGAGAAACAAATTAAGTTAAAGGAATTTCACTTTGGATTTGCTGACATCTGGACTTGGCTGTGGAAATACTCTGCGAGAATACCGACCGACGGCCTGTATAGGTCCGGAACGGTGTGATTACACATATTTCTTGCCGGTCAGGATGGCAGGGAGAGAAGGGTATAGTGATAGCATGGAGTTAAGTGAGGAAGAGACAAGAAGTGGGAAGGAGAGTGAGTGGAAAGAAGCAGGGAAGAAGTCGGCGAATCACAAGAGAAAGAAAAAGAATGAAACAAGTTTGGGTGAAACAGAGTGAATAAAAAAGGAAGAGGAAGTTGGAGAGCCAAAGGCGGAAATGTTAAATGTTGTGATACGATTTGAAGGAGGAGTAAAGAAAATAGACCCATTAAAACTGACCAAAATAATCAGAGCACAAGTCGGAGAAGTGAAATATGCAAGGATCTTGGGAGATGGAAATCTCTTAATTGGATGCAACAGTGATGCACAAATAGATAAGGCAAAGACGCTTGCCATGGTTGGAAAAATCAAGGTGCTTAAAGTTGTAAAAGTGGGAGAGCCAATGGTGGCAGGGGAGTGATATCTGTGTGCAAAGGAAAGAGGTGTGCCAGGTGTGGAGGAGAACATGAGTATGGAAAGTGTGGAGAAGGAGTCCAGCCAAAGTGCTGCAACTGTGGGGGGGGGGAAACATAGCGTTGCATATTGGGGATGTGAAGCAATGAGACGAGAGGTGGAAGTCCAACAAACAAGAAGGAAAGGAAATGTAACTTATGCAGAAGCAGTTTAAGTTGGTGAGGCAGGAGAAGCAGGGGAGCTTATTCGCAAAGGGCAAATGACAGTGGAGGCAGAAAGAAATGATAAGATCAGGGCAGAGAAGGAGAAGCTGGTGACTTTCATAGCAGGGGTGATAAACGCAACTGCTGAGGTTAAGTCTAAAACTGAAAGGATTGAAATAATCGTTAAAGCAGCAGTACATCACCTTGATATGATGGGTTTAAAATGGGAGGAAGTAAGAGACAATCTTAGTTTACAGGCAAGCCAAGAAACATGTATTGGTTGATAATGTTAATACTTCAATGGAATGCTAGAAGTTTCATTGCCAATTGACAAGAGTTTAAGAAACGTATAGATAGCAGAAGGGAGAAACCAGATGTTTTGTGGATACAAGAATCATGGTTAAAACCAAACTTGGACTTTGTAATGTATGGATATGTGGCAATTAGACGAGATAGGAAAGAAGGACAGGAGGGGGGGGGGGGGGGGGGGGGGGGGGTGTTACTTTTATAAAACAAGGGATTCCCCATAGAGTACTGGGTATAGGGCAAGAAATGGAGTATGTGGTAGTGGAAGTGTGGGTTGAAAGGAAGGAATTTGTGGTAGTGAATTATTATAATCCATGTCTGAAAATAGAACTAAGAAAATTGGAAGAAATAGAAGGGCAAGATAGGGCAAGCATAGTATGGTGTGGGGACTTCAACGCACATAACACATTATGGGGGAGTGGGATAACTGATGGCAATGGACAAACCACAGAAGAACTATTGGATGAAAGGAATTTAGTCTGCCTAAATGATGGCAGTAAGACAAGGATTAATATCAATACAGGAAAGGAGTCTGTACCAGACCTAACACTAGTTTCTAATAACATTGCTGCAGTGTGACTGGAAAGCGTATCATGAAGCAACCATAGGCAGTGATCACTACTCGATATTCTGTAAAATAAATATCCATACATCAGTAACGGAAGTGGAAAATGAAAAACAAGCAGAAAAGCAGTACCATGGTGGAACAATACTTGTAAAGAGGCAATTAGAAATAGAAACAGGGCAACTCATAACTTTCAGTATCTGATACAGTTCAAAAAGGCTCAGGCATTAGTGAGAAAGACAATGAGGCAGGCAAAAGGGACATATTAGAGGACGTTTTGTGACACAGTTGGAAATACAACCCCAGTAGGAGAAGTGTGGGGGATGATTAGAAAGATGGGAGGGGCCAGAAGAGAGTGGAGTTATCCTGTGCTGACAACTGGAGAAGAAGTAGCGGTGACTAATAAAGAGAAAGCGGAGACATTGGTTAATACTTTTGTAAAGATACACGGCAATAACAATTTGTCTGACGAAGGAAAACAAACTTGAGGAAACAAGATTTGACAATAGGGAGGCTTTGAGGAAGAAGGAGAATACTGAAGATGAATTGAGTGTGCCATTTACAATGGGGGAGTAACCCATCAAATTATAGACCAATTACCCTAACATCACATATATGTAAATTTATGGAACGCATGTAAACGAAAGATTAATATATTATTTAGAGAAACAACAGATATTTAGTAGGGTGTCAGAGTGGATTTAGGAAAGTTAGGGGAACCTTGGATTCAACTTTATGTCTAGAAGATGAGGTAAGACAGGCACAGGTTAATAAAGAAACTGTGGCAGCAGTGTTTTTTGATGTAGAAAAGGCTTATGATATGCTATGGAGGGAAGGTCTTTTGATAAAAATGCATCTAATGGGAATCAGGGGGAAACGGTTTAATTGGATAATGGAATTTTTAAATAAAATAACTATCCAGGTAACAGTAGGAGCTGAAAGGTCAAGGAAATATGAGGTAGAAAATGAGACTCCACAAGGGAGTGTGGTAAGTCCTTTATTATTCTCAATTGCAATAAATGACATCTTTGGAACGGTGTCACCAGATATGGGAAGGTAATTATTTGCAGATGATGGGGCCTTATGGGGAAAAAAGGAAGAAACTTGGAACATATTGTCCAAAAACTGCAAGAAGGGATAAAACAAGTTGAAATGTGGGGGAAGAAATGGCGATTTAAATTCTCATCTGAAAAAAGCTAAAGTAATGTTCTTTACGAGACAGAGAACTAGGAGCAACCTTCAGCTGAATCAGTATGAAAACAAGTTAGAAATAGTAGAGTAATTTCGGTTTTTAGGAGTACACTTTGACAGCAGATTAACATGGAAAAACCACATTAAAAATGTTAGTGATGAGTGTAAAAAAGTTATAAATGTAATGAGATGTCTGGTAGGGTTGGACTTGGGAGCAGAGGTTGCATCCCTGATACACATTTACAAAGCGCTAATTAAATCCAGATTAGATTACAGTAGTAGAGCAAATGGTTCAGCAGCAGAAACCACACTTAAACAGCGAGATGCTGTCCAGACCAGGGCCCTCAGGATTTGTATAGGTGCAGTAAGAACATCACCTGTGTGCACCATCCAAGTAGAGACAGGAGAAATGCCATTGTGTCTTCACAGAAAACAACTGTTGGTTAATTATTGGATAAATCTGAAAGGTCAATCATCCAGCTAAAAAAGTATTACAGGCATGTTGGGAAAGACATAAAGTACCAAAGACAAGTTTTGGCTGGATAGGAGAAGCAACAGCAAGAAGCCTAGGAGTCTGTGATATAGAGCTTTGCCCTACTGTCGTTAGGCCAATAACTCCTGTGTGGATGCGTAAAGAACCAGAGGTGGACATGGAGTTGCTGCAAATTAAGGTAAAATGTAAAGATACTGATTTAGTGAGTGAGTTCTATGAATACACAGATAAAAAGTACCCAGAGCACGTGCATGTTTTTACCGATGGATCAAAAGATCCAGCTACAGACAGTACAGGATCTGCTGTTGCAGTTCACAAATTTGAAATATTTAAACGCACTTCGAATTTTTTAGCTGTGTATACAGTTGAATTGTATGCAATTTGTTGGGCCCTAGAGTGGGTTGAACAACACAGACCAGACAAAGTCCTCATTTGCAGTGAGTCCATGTCTGCACTCGTTAGTCTGAAGTCAGGTGTGTCCAATACTCGACAAGATGTTACTAAAAATAATGTCAAATCACTCTAGAGCAATAGAACGAGGCACTGAAGTTATATTCATATGGATACCGGCCCATGTAGGTATCAGAGGAAATGACAAACTAGCCAAACAAGCACTAAAGGAAAACAAAGTAGACGTATGTATCAAGTTATCCAAAGCAGAGGGAAAGGGCATCATCAGGAAAAATATCAACAAAGTATGGCAACAACATTGGGACCAGGAGACACCTACATTCAATTCAGAGTAAAGTGAGCAGCCAGATACAGGGGAGGAAACAGAAGAGAAGAGGTCACAATATCAAGATTAAGGATAGGGCACAGCAATCTACGCAGCACACTACACATGATAGGGAAGCACTGCCAGGCACCAGAAATTGTACAACATGTTATCACCTCCTAGACACAGCTCAGAAAGGAGGGGCATGCTGGGAGAAATGCAAAGACTAGGGATGAGAGGAAGAGAGTTGAATAATATACGAGTGGGGATCTAGTGATCTGGGAAGAAAGTGCTTTACAAACTTTTTGCGATTAAAATGTGGCGTGTCAGCGTGGAGTTTCAATGTGTTGTATTATCCTATGGTGTTGTGTTATGGTGTCAATGTGCAAATGGATTAAATGGATCAACGGATCGAAAGACAGCGCACTGGACAGTGAAATGTTTGTGGAACACGCATCCGAACAAGTTCTCCCGTTTGCCCCCAGTGGCTTTAGGATATAAAATGGATATTTGTTAAAGTCACTACAGTAATTGATATATATATAATATGTGTGCATAATTGTTAAATTCCACGCCTCAGCTGGTGTTTTGTCCTGGCCAGGAAACAATTTCATTAACTCTCTTATGTGACATGAGCATATTTTAGATTGCTGCACGTTCTCATCTCATCTACTTTCTACCAAAAAAAGATGCTGAGTGTTTAATGAACCAACCTGCTCTGTGTAACCGAAGCTGAGGGTTGAAAACAGCGTCCAGTAGTTTCCGTTGTCGCTCATTCTCCTCCTCGTACTCGGTTATCGTTCTTTCAAACAGACCAAATATCTCTTCAGCAGCCGCAGTTAGTCGCTGGTTGACAAACGATCTCAGCATTTGGACTTTAGACATTTTCACACAACGACAGAAACGTTTTCTCCACACAAACTCTCTTACTCTACATTAAACTCTGACTAGCGCTGTGTTGCTAACTTCCGTCCCCGTCGGTCTGTTTCCAGCTAGCATGCTAAGCTAACTTCAATAGCTTTGTAGGCTACCGGGAGATGAGTCAGAGGAAAAACATCCAGAAAAAAAAGGTGAAGAGCTAAAAGTCCATTCAGACAGGTTTATCCAGACTTACATAGACTCTGATGGATCAGTACTGGTGGAGCTAACTGATACTTTATCAACACAACAAAGAGACTCTGCTATATCTACTAACGTTAGGCGCCATATTGCTAATGGAAGAACATCCGGTTCCGCTGATACGTGGTATGTTACCTACAAAATAAAAGCACTTATGCACTTATGCAGAGAAATCAAAAAGCATAGCTCCAACAAGGCTACAAAACACCTCGAAATGTTTAAAAATAAAATAGGTTTAGATCTTTATAATAAAGAAAAAGAACAAGAAAAGAATCAGTGATTCAGCGCGTCGGTCCCTGAGTAACATTCTGGAGAAGAAACTGAATTTCAAAGGTAACTATAAAAATTTGTATTTTCCCCAACAGCAAGATCCGCAGATGAATGATCCTCGAGATCCAAACAGCTATAACACAGGGTCACAAATCAGGAAAAAGACAGTACTTAACTCAGCGTTTTACAGTTAAGCGTCTGTTCCCCTCCACCTGTGGGCTTTTATGTTTTCTTCTTCCAAGCTGTTGGAGGACATCTCTTAACGCTGTATATCAGATTTATAAGATACAAAATCGTAAATTCTTATTCCAATCTTAAGTTACCCTCCATCTTTTCCAGATGTAACAGTTGTAGGTAGGGCATGGAAAGAGACAACTCAAGTGATTGTTTTCTAATATTTATTTGTTTCTGTAGAAGACAAAATATCACCAATTGTTTGCCTTCTGATCATTTTCTACACCTCTGCTCCCTCAGCAACGCAAAACGGAACTGTGTGATTTCATTCCTTTCCTTCAAATACACAAAGAAACAACAACTTGACATTACAGTATGTCCTCGGGTTAAGGATGCACATTACTAGTCAAGGGATACAAAAATCACCAAGGAAAACATCTAACCGAAATCATAACACATTTTCTCAAAACCATGAAGAACAATATACAAGAGGAAAAACAGGGACACCTGGTGGGTAAAGTAAAAAGTGTGTGGGACTGGGTGACAGAACAGAGACAATAGAAATAATAACATTTAACAAATAAAAAAACACACTTGAGAAAGTCAATGCATAAACACATTAATTGCCTTCTGGTATTTTTCTGCAATTCTGCTCTTAAACATGCAAAATAGCAGAATTTATACAAGGAGATGTTTACCAAAATCTATGCAGTATCTATCTAATCTATGCATCTATGTTCATATGACACAGGACGGCCTTTAGTGTCAGAAAAGGCCCCTAATATTTACTTTTATTTCAACAGTAAAAAAAGAACACTATAAAGCTTTGTTGGGATCTGCCAGGAGAGGGTTTGGTTATTAGCAAGTAAAAAATGTAATTAGTGACATCAATAAAATTATGAATATCAATTGGATTATTAACATTGTCAAGTAGAGTTGAGATCACTTAGCTGCGCTAAGTAAAAAAGCATAAAGATGGGACTATAAAGATCAGGCCAAAGAACACAGCACTTATACGAGTAGAAATTTAGTATAATCTAAGAGTTGATTCGTGCATTTATGTATTGTTAATTAATACGAAATGATTTAATAATCATAATGCGATTGTAATAATGATCCTGTTGAAATATGTCCTGACTAATGCCGTGTTCACACCAAATCACGTCATTCGCGCCGCCGGTCTCGCCGGGGACTATTTGTGCTCATTCGTGTGAATCACGCTGGACATACCGGAGAGCTGTCCGCCATTAACCATGGAAAAAATAACCTATATTTCTGCTTAGTACGTGTTGTGGAAGTCCCAGATATCACGGGAAATTAAACGCCGTCATGTCTGGGTTCATAATATTGTCCAGAGGAGCTCCGTGGATTTTATCGAGGTGTATTAACTGTGTCTAGCAAGCCACACATCGGCTGGTTTACTACAGCTGTATGAACACAAAATAAACTGATTTGGCTGTGATTTAACTGCAATAAACTGACAAAAAGGGACTCCGAAATAACTACGTAATGACGCCGATTTGTACTTGTCTTCTCAATGGAGCTCGGATCGATCGGTGCTAGGCTATGGTAACATTGTAGCAGCTCCTTCAACACTCACAATAACGTCATCTAGACGTAAATATGGCAGCATCTTTTTCATTGTTTGTACCATATGGTTTACACACACATTTATACAGATAGTTTGGTCCGGTCTCTATTGATATGAGGTATCGTAGAGCTCTGGGATGAACACAGACGGCTACAGTATTTGTTTCCTGATTCAACAACGGCAGGACGTCAGTAATGACAGGGGAAGGATCTCAACGCTGATAGACTATCACGCCACAGTGTCACGCCATTTTTTCGCCTAAGTTGAAAAATGTCAACTCACGCGTTTGGGGCGAATTCGCGTCAATCACGCAGCGGCATCGCAAATTTGCGTCACTCCAGTCTCATCGCGTCTGTACTTTGTATGTAATCTACTCGCCGTTTGATGTGAACGCAGCATTACTCTAACTGAAATGACCGGCTGTGTGCAAGAGTGAAGCAATCAAGTTCCTATTTGACAAAATAAGGAAGTGTATCCTGTTGAGGCAATGAATGAGATCATGATCAGCTAGGTGAGGAGTGTGGAAATGAGGATGGCTCAACAGGACAATAAAAAGAGAAGACTTGGATCATCGAGTGGGGATTTGGCTTGCGACATTGTTCAGGACAAGCATCGGAGGACTTCGTCTCTGCTCACGGCAAAGAGGACACCGATCAACTTTCACATCCCCCCTGCATGAGCAGGTGAAGCAGGATACTGATTTCTGTGGCTTTGTATGGAGTCAAGAGCATCGCAGAAGAAATGTCTTCATCCTAGCAGGAGGAGGCCGGTGTCATGCAAAGGCCTGGCGAGTCATCCCTTCCTACACCACAAAGGATTTATTCTTCAAAAAGGGACCGTCACCCAGCCTCAGCTGAGTAAGAAAATAATGTAATGAAATCAAGTAAAGTAAATATTTGAGCTGTTGCTTTGCCCCCGCAAATTACCCTGCAATACACATCTAAACTGCATTTGAAGAAGACCTGAGAATTTATTAGTAAAGTAGACAAAAGCTTCGAGATCACTTCGTAGTGGTTGGTGTGTTTCTTTGGACTTGTTCAACGGAATTTCTCCTGCTTGGGACCGGGGACCGTGACCACGCTTTGTCAGCCCAGAGGGGAGCCTTCAGGATGAGTCAGTACCTCCAAGTCTGAGGCCAAGGTTTTCCAACAGAAATCGATGGATAGTGCCAAATAAGAGGGAAGTGAGTCACTGCCCCAAGCAAGGGAGTTCAAATATCTCAGGGTCTTTTTTACAAGTGAGGGAATGGGATTAATGTAAAATTCATCAAAACCCGAACAACTAAAGGGGCTTCTCTCCCGTGTGACTTATCATGTGCACCTTCAGTTCTGCATTGCACACACATCTTTCATCACAAACGTTTCTCTCCTGTGTGCGTTACCATGTGTCTCTGTAAAGTTTCCCTCCGTCCAAAAGATTTCTTACAGACTGAGCAGCTGAAAAGTTTCTCTCCTGTGTGGACTCTCATGTGTCTCTGTAAACGTCCACTACGTGAAAAACATTTGTAACAGACTGAGCAACTGAAAGGTTTCTCTCCTGTGTGGATTCTTATGTGGCTCTTCAGATTTCCACTTTCAGTGAAACCTTTACCACACTCTGAACAGCTGAAAGGTTTCTCTCCTGTGTGGATTCTCATGTGTTTCTTCAGATTTCCATTTTTAGTGAAGCCTTTCTCACACACTGAGCAGCTGAAAGGTTTCTCTCCTGTGTGACTCATGATGTGTAACTTCAGACCTGACTTGCGCTTAAAACTTTTATGACAAACTGAGCAATTGAAAAGTTTGTCTCCTGTGTGGACTCTCATGTGTCTCTGTAAACATCCACTATGTGAAAAACATTTATAACAGACTGAGCAGCTTAATGGTTTCTCTCCTGTGTGGATTCTTATGTGGCTCTTCAGATTTCCACTTTCAGTGAAACCTTTACCACACACTGAGCAGCTGAAAGGTTTCTCTCCTGTGTGGATTCTCATGTGTTTCTTCAGATTTCCATTTTTAGTGAAACTTTTCTCACACACTGAGCAACTGAAAGGTTTCTCTCCTGTGTGACTCATGATGTGTAACTTCAGACCTGACTTGCGCGTAAAACTTTTATGACAAAATGAGCAATTGAAAGTTCTCTCTCCTGTGTGGACTCTCCTATGTCTCTTCAAATCTTTCTTCAGGCAAAATCTTTTCCCAAATTCAGAGCAGCTTAATGGTTTCTCACCAGCACTACATCTTGAATCACTGACAGACACGTCATCATTATTCAGAGAGTTTAAACCTGACTGAGGTTCTCTGGTCTCCTTCCAATCATCACTGTGTTCAGTCTCAGGTTCAACAGAGTCTCCAGTCTTCCCATCAGTTTCTGGTTCTGGATGTGTATCTGGATCTGAGTTTTTTCCTGGTTCTGGTCCTCCACAGTCCTCTCCATCAGCATCTATTTCCATCCGTTCAGTTTGTCTTTGATGAAGCTGCGAGTACTGAGCTTCCTCTTCACTCTTCACAGAAGTGAATGAGAACTTGCCATCAGCCTCCTCCAGCCCTTGAAGCTGTTCTCCTTCCTGACTGGTCCAGAGTTCCTCCTGTTCCTCTTTAATGTGTGGGGGCTCTGGGTCCTCCTGGTCCAGACTGGAGCTCCACTCCTGCTGCTCTTCTTTAACCACCACCAGCTGCTGGACATCTGTGGAAAATAATGAAATACATACACACCTTAGAAAACTAATTTCATGTTAACAACTAATCCACTGATATCACTACTTTCCTATAATGTGGGGAGACATGTTGCACATTGTTTTAGGACATATTCGGACCTCATTCAAACTCAAACAAACTAAGAACTGATATGTATTTTACCTGGCTGTGAGAAAAAGTTTCTCTTTGGGGGAGTTGTTCTTGTTAAAAAGCTCATGTGTTATTTGCTGCTAAAACATAATGAAGCATAACCTAAGGGTGACTGTTTAAGGAAAATAATGATGATCATGTAAAGATAAAAGCCTGCTTCTCTCTGTGTCTGCGAGAGTTAGACATTGCGTAAAAATATCAAATTTGCACACCAACTGCATAAAAACAGTCGCCAAATGAAGACTGGGGCTGGAAAATTCCATTAAAAATTTGATTCAACCAAGAAAAAAATCATTATTAAAGTGCGATAAAATAGCGTTTCAATTGACTGTGGTTCTGCAGAGATGTCCTAGTCTACTAGTCATATTCTACAGATTTAAAAGAACATATGTTTGGTACAGAACTTAGAAAAAAATAATATATGTTTTTCAATGATATCAGAGTCTGGACTCCCAATTCCAAGCTTCCAAGTACACAAGTCTGTACTTGGTATTAAGAAAGGACTCTGGCGACGGCTGTAGTCCAAGATGGCAACGGCAAAAATCGAGGCTTCATAACAGCGGTCCACAAACCAATGGGTGACGTCACGATGACTACGTCCACGTCTTATATACAGTCAATGCTCGCGCTACCGCTGCCAGCAAGACCAAGATCCTCCTGGTGGCACTGGCAGAGCAGTGGCAAGTGTCAGGACAGCGGCAAGCGAGCGGCACTCATTCGGCAACTGTGAAGAAGCTGCTGAGCAGATGGAGTCACATTTCTTGGGAATACCCATTTTTGTTGCGACAGGTTAGCTGCCGTAAATCAGTTTTATGATCATAGTATGGATTTTAGTTGAGTCACAGAGGAGCTGAGATTTTTCCTTTTGTCAATACTTAAGTGTACGGATAGATGGATAAACAGATAGTGTAAGTCTAATGTAGGCCTATTTGTAGACTTAATAATTACAATATGCAATACTGCTGTACTATACTGAATATTGTTTTACTACTACTATATTTCCCTTCATAATATGTTACCCTTGTATACTATAATATTTATAATGTACAGGCCTATTTTGTTACATGTTTTAAAATGTTTACCATATCATGTTATTCAATTCAATTTTGTATAGCCCAAATTCACAAATCACAAATTTGCCTCAGAGGGCTTTACAATCTGTACACATGCGACATCCTCAGTCCCAGGACCCTCACATCGAAACAGGAAAAACTCCCCCAAAAAACCCTTTAACAGGGAGAAAAGAGGAAGAAACCTAACGTTACACTGTTATACCACCACTATGTTACTTTACTTCTAGGAGACTGCACTGTTAGTCTAAGCACAGCACTAGTATTATTTTTCCACCAGGTAAACCTGAATACGCACACCTTTCTTAAGTGTAGCAGTGATTATAACCGCACAACTATCTAGATTCTAATTAACTGAAGAAAGAACTTTTTTTTCTACACATAGAGCTTAAACCCTTGAATATAAACAGGACCCATTGAAATCGCATGGGAAATGTAACTCGGCAACATTATGATTTAGGCCGTTTTGAAACAAAAAAAAATAGTCTTTACTATTATTAGGACTACTTTAATAGTCATAGATGATAATCAGCTGCAATAATAAGATAACAGAGTTTTCCCCTTTTTTGTAGTAGTAGTTATGCCTACATGTAAGATTTTTTTAATAAAAAAAAAAAAAAAAAAAATACAAATCGGAAAATATCTTCACTCTTCCTCTGCTTATATGTAGGTGTCAGTAGGTGCCACAAGCTGCCAGTGCCAATAGTTGTCACGGGACTGCCACTAGTGCTACATCCATACTACTCCGTTTCTACTCCGTTTCTATTTGGTAGCAGATTTGTCAAATAGAAACGATCTCCGTCCACACGGCCGTTTCAGCATCATTCTCGAATTGATCTGCATCCACATGGCAACCTTCGAAGGCGGACAGCAGTGACTATTAACGTACACTGGGCATGCGCGTGACGGTGTAAACAGGAAGTGGATTGGTTGCTTAGTTAAAAAAATGACGACAGAGTAATAAAGTACTCTTTAATAATGAAAGGTTGTATTTGATACTTAACATCTTCCTCTATAAACTCAAACAGACAGTTCGTGGAAAGTTTTATTTTTCAGACTTAGACCCGCAGCGCTGCGGGTCTCTCTCTCTCTCACACATCAAATTTACTTTAAAATCAACACTTACATGTAAACGTTTACTAGATTATGGGTCCATCAATGTGGTCAACACACGTCTCTCACTCGTTTCCTCCGTGTTGTTGATGTCTGTTCTCACTCGTAACTCTGAACATCATGTAACATGTCCGACTAGCTAGCTTCTAAGCTAATTTTAACATTACCGCCAATGGAGAAATGCTAACCGCGATTAGCATTTAATACAACACAAATGTTATACTAACAGAGTGAATAGAATATATCTACGTACATCTTTTCATGCTTCATAAATACATACTTACAGACTAAGGTCTCTCAAGGCTACCAAACGGAAGAAGTAAAACGTTAGTGCAGCATGTCTTCTCATTAGAATCTAAAAACAACGAGCTGCTCCATAGGGCCGCTGGTCACTCCGCCTGCTTATCACTCCAATAACAGCTGCTTCCTCAAACAGAAATGCAGACTTTTACTGCACAACAGCTGCTAGCTGTTGTGCTAGCAGCAACGCTTGCAATTAGTTATCCATGTTGAAATGAATTGCTGGTAGCCCAGTTTGTTTTCTTCCGGGTACGGGTCACGTGATAGTGAGTGTGACGAATCAGGGACAGAGACGTCATGGTTTCTAAGAAACAATCCAGTAGCGAACACGGGTGTGGGTGTCATTTTTTCTAAACACATCCGTATCCGACCGTCCACAAGCAAACGCAACCCTGGAGTTCTCAAACACCTCCAACCTCAGGGGAGTTTTCAGACTCCTCCGTTTAGGGTGCTCCAAAACTCCGGCGTAGTGTGGCTGCTCAGTGTAAACGTAGCAAAAACGGAGTAAAAATGGAGTAATGTGGACATGACCTAAATGTCAGACAATTGCCACCTAGTGGCACTCCTCTGACAACTAGTGGCAGTCCTGTAACAAGTGGTGGCACTGGCAGTTTGTGGCACCTACTGACACCTACATATAAGCAGAGCTAGAGAGAAGATATTTTCAGACAAGTACTTTTAGATTGGAGTTTCTATTTTAAAGATTTCTATTTTAAAACGTTTTTATATATATACTTTTACATTTTAATAAAACAGATGATTTATTTTCATTAATTTTAACAGATTATTGTAACCGACTATAAAAGTAATTATTTGTTCCTTTTTCTTTCAAAACCTGCAAAATCATACTTAAATGAAATGGATGAAAAACAAAAAAGTACAACGTGTTTACTCTTTTTAGGACATATAAAGACAATGGGTGGCTCAACTAAAATCATAAAACTGATTTACGGCAGCTGACCTTTTCGTAACAACAATGGGTGTTCTCAGGAAATGTGGCTTCGCCCACTCAGCTCTTCTTGACGGGTGCCGAACGAGTGCCGCTCGCTTGCCGCTGTCTGGACACCCAACTGAAGCTCGACAAAGCATTGGTGTTTCCACCTAGCTTTGCATAAAGAATGGTAACCATGAATTATCAGACAAACATTTAGCAGAGAAAAATCCTCTTTTACTCATCAAAGACAAAACTACAGTTTGATTTAATTCATGTGATTATTATGTTTTTAACATGTACTTAACTCTTATGTGACATGAACAGATTTTAGATTTCAACACGCTGCACATGCTCATCTTTGAGACACTTTTTCATGAGTCAGCAAACATCTGAGCTGCAAAATATGTGGTGGTGTTATCAAAAAGAACAAACTTGTACTTTATGTTGAAATACATTCTGTCATAAAGATGCTGAGTGTTTAATGAACCAACCTGCTCCATGTAGCCGAAGCTGAGGGTTTAAATCACCGTCCAGTAGTTTCCGTTGTCGCTCGTTCTCCTCTTTTGAACGAGAAAGCTCCTCCTCGTACTCTGCTATCGTTCTTTCAAACAGACCAAATATCTCTTCAGCAGCTGCAGTTAGTCGCTGGTTGACAAAAGATCTCAGCATTTGGACTTTAGACATTTTCACACGACAGAAACGTTTTCTCAACACAAACTCTCTTACTCTACATTAAACTCTGACTAGCGCTGTGTTGCTAACTTCCGTCCCCGTCTGTGTGTTTCCAGCTAGCATGCTAAGCTAACTTCAATAGCTTTGTAGGCTACCGGGAGACGAGTCAGAGGAAAAACATCCAGAAAAAAAGGTGAAGAGCTAAAAGTCCATTAAGACAGGTTTATCCAGACGTACAGAGACTCTGATGGATCAGTACTGGTGGAGCTAACGGATACTTTATCAACATAACAAAGAGACTCTGCTGTTTCCACTAACGTTAGGCGCCATATTGCTAATGGAGGAACATCCGGTTCCGCTGATACGTGGTATGTTACCTACAAAATAAAAGCACTAGAATACCACATGCTACAATAAAAAAATCTTAAATTACCCTCCATCTTTTCCATATGTAACAGTTGTGGGTAGGGCATGGAAAGAGACGACTCAAGTGATTGTTTTCTAATATTTATTTGTTTCTGTAGAAAACAAAATATCACCAATTGTTTGCCTTCT